ACATACGCTTTTTTCTTTTCTTTATTTCCTTTGCAAAACCTTGCAACACTGGAGCAACACCTGCAGTACAACTTGGAGAAAGACGAGCAGCGATTCAAAGCCACACAACTTATAGGACTCGTGGAAAATGTGTATTTTACATCTGTATGATGAAAGCAGAAAGTCATAATTTGTCTAACATAAGGAACGTCAAGGAAAAACTGCTGCTGTGTAGTAAATGTAACAACGATCTTTCCACGAGGCGGGGCTCTTAAAGTGGAAACAGCAATTCATTTTTTCATGATTGAGCAAATGTGCGCTGATTCGTTGTCAATTAGGACATGATTTATTTGAACGTTAATTGAACACAGCACTGGAGCAAATCGCTCGCTGCGTTTTGTTTTTTCTTTTTACACTAGGTCAAAACTCACATAAACAGTGATTGATAACTAAATGTCTGTGGTGCACCGGAAGCATCAGCATTATGAGTACACTGCTGAGTCAAAACAGTCGAGAACTCGCAGCCCAAAATGCAGCAAATAACCAGCCAGCAGGTTTCTCCCCCCGAAGAGCATTCATCAACTCACTCAGGAGCCACAGCTGTTTTAAAAGAAGATTAAAATACAGCTTATGCACATTTAGAAACAATGATCTACTGCATATTTCAGCAGATATAACTTTAAAGGGGCAAACTGATGTTGAGTATTATGACCTTTTCAGTCTATAAACACAACCGCTGTCTGTATCACCACCTTCTACAAGAATATAAACCTTTATCTGCTCATCCACTACTTTATCAGTCTGCTCTATGTTGTGACAGATGAATTATTTACTCCATCAGATCAAAGGAGGAAAACTGTCCATGTTTACGATTTGTATGTCCCCAGAAAAAAAGCTAAAAAGAAAAAGTGGGAGGGAAAAAAGCATCATTTCACCATAAACCAGGACCATGTGCTCGTTATCTGAAGCAGGCCGTCTAAAAAGACTTAAAAGTCTAAAATAGACCAAAGACATTAGAGACAAACTCAAGCCTAAACAACGCTGTACTAACCACAGACGGAGAGTGGGGATGACATTTTGGGCATTTAGCAGACACTCTTTTCCAGACCGACTTCCAGTAACTGCAACAGGAGAATACGCTCAAATCCCTGTATCACTGACGTTACAGGCAGCAAATATAAAGCAATGAAAGAGCCAAAAACAATGTGCCCAGACGATAAAAATAAGTTAAAAACAATTGTGTCCTTGGGATATGAGCAAAACAAGAGAGCTGGTCATAAAGAAGTGCTAGCTGCGGAGCTTTGAGCCAAGAGCGCCAGAAGCCTTGCAAACTTTTTTTTTCTTCTTAAAAGAAACTATCCGTGACAAATGGATGTTTTCCTTTATCTGAACTGCAGGCTGGGTTGAGATGAATAACAGCTGATTGCTTTAATAGATGTTATCTTTTCCTGCTTATTTGAAACTGTGAGAGTTAAGACGGTTCACGTTCATAAATAAATAGGAACAGAAATGAAAAATAAATTGAAGCTCTGTGTCTGCAAAACAGAATAGGTCCTTCAAAACTTGAAATCCCATGTGATCTTTTTAGGTTTAAACAATATGACATGTGCTACATTACTAAGATGGACTGAGTGCAGACTTTATTTGAGACGGGATCTAAATTTGCAGGTATGGAGATGGTAATTTAATGTCACCTGTAAACATGTCAGCTATAATATCTGAGCAAGGCTTCCCCATGTCTAATTAACTGACGCATCAAAACACACAAAGGAAAACAGCTAAAATACACAAAAGTAGAACAGGAGGGTTAAATACAGGAGTAAAATCAAAGTTTTGATTTGTGAAGGCAGTCGCTCTTAGTTCCACTTTAGTCACAGTCTCTATATTATCCAGCTCAACAGATTATTAGAGCCGTTATCTCCTCAAATCAGGGAACAGACTGTTTTTCACTTCCTCAGACACATCTGTGCTGAGTAACAGGTTTGTGAATGAGATTACCCAATTTTCTAGACAGCGATAACAAGCCAAGATAAACTAAAATCAGCCCTTATGTTAGCTGCGTCGTATAATTTAACACAATGAAATGGAACAAAGCATGGAGAGGACGCATGTCAGTGGAGGAACGGCAGCAAATAAGCAGAAGTTACTGCTGGAATTATTCACTTTACTATTAAAGCTGGTAATGTAAAGCAGATTAAGTCACGTACTGGAAGAACAGTTGCAAAAGTTTTCCAAACTTCAATCAATACTATAAAGGCTTTCCAGTTGATAAATATGGTCTTATCTTGCGTATGTGAGATTGTTCACCGTACAGTGTAATATTCACAGTCCCAATTGGGTTTCTACAACTTCCTCTGGTCTTGAACAACTACTTGTAAAAATGTCTTGATGTAATGTTTAAATATTCCTGTCTTGTTGTACCCCCCCCCCAATTTTAACGTAAAAGCTGATTTCAACTTTGATAACTACAGTTAACGGCTTTAAGAAATGATTGTGTACAACAAATATTTCCATGCCTACTTCATTTCAAAGGCAGCAAAATCAAGTGCGCCTGTACCAATGAAATCACTAGAATTCTACCCCAAAAAAGTGGCTTGAATTGGGCTGAAGTCTCCTTTTACACTCCATCTCACACAGGCCCTTTTTTTCCCTCCTCTGGTAACGCAGCACTACTATGAAACGACCAAAGACAAATGCATGGCAGCCCACAAAATCACTACAGTTGTTCCTCATGTCTTACAGAACATCAAACCATCAATAAAACTCAGGAGATACATTCCAGCTAGTTGAACAGGACGTTTCTGACTTCCCTCTCTCCATGTGTTCTCTCCCTCTCTCTCCCCCCAAAACTTTCTCTCTTCCCAGTTCCACCGCAGAGGCTTCACATATTGCAGCCATATGAGTAAGCCATGGCTGCCTCCACCGCTTGTACAGACGCAGACGCACACAGGAAAAAGTGCTGTGCTCTCTCCCACTCTGTCTCACACACGTTCAGGAAAGACTTTTACAAGCAGAGGTTCTCTTTAGGAAGTCGTCAACTGTTTTGACGTTTAATAGGAGCAGCGAACAAGGCCGTAAGATACAATAATATCCAGTGTCTGGAAAGAGGAAAAAATTTTAAAAGGTTATAGAGCTGCACTGTTACATTGATAGATAGTTTTCTTACCAAATTTTATAAAAACTTGTTTGAAGTTTATAAAAGTTAAACACTGTGATATTGCATGTGTGGATCTTTTCAGAAATAAGAATATGTTATCAGGACATACAACTAAGAGCAGCAATATGCAGGCTGGAGTGTGTTGTATCTTACGAAAACATGAACACACAACTCAGCAGCAAAATAGCACGTAAAACTATTTCCAACTGTATCAAAAGTAGATGTCTGTCAAAAAGCACTTGATCCTGACCTTGAGGTGCTGTGATCATTATCAAACTACCAAGTCTGCATCATCATATCAGATTACAAATTAATTAAAAAGTAATATCAATAGGAATTTTTCGTAATAAGTAATGCGTAATAACAACAACAATGTGTCATCATCATAAATCTCACAGAAGACAAGCGGCTTACAATCCTTTCCGTCCTTAAGTAAAATTCACATAAGTCATGTGCTTTGAAAATACTCATTTAAAGCATTTACAGCTTCAGAGTAAGATTAGAGCCACAGAATGCTGACTTTAAAAACTTCAAACTTAACTTAAAAAGTCTTGTGAATCTTTTTCTGCATTTGTGTCTTTACTCAAGTGATCCCTATAGTTACACACACATATACTTGTTCTCTGCTGCTGTGGAAAAACATGGAAAAGTTGGAAAAAACTAAGATTTTTCAGAGGGAAAACTTTTTAACAAAATACTGGAAGGCAAAGATAGTAAACTTGGTTTCACTTTTTTTTTTTAAGTCTGTGCAACGTTGTTTGTACAGTGATTTCTCGCACAGTGATTTCTGCTCATCAGTGAGTCGCCGTGAAACTTGAAGCTGATATACTTTATATTTAAAAGCAGGAATAGCCAGCAACTATTTCACAACTACACAAACTTGTTTCCTTATGACTAAATTAAATAGTAAAATAGAGAAGTGTCAGCTTTTTTGAAACAGCTGTTAACAAGTGTTTGGGGGAGTCACAGTTAAGACCTGTTTTTTTTTTTTTTTTTAAACGGAGGTTATCTGCTGAATAAAAGTCGCTCCACACACACTCAGTAGTTTCGCAGTTTTCTCTGTTTTGTGGGGGGGACCAGAGTTGGAGAACTGTGAAGGACTATGTAAAAAGCTTCCTCGCAGTGTGTGCCTCATTGTACTGGCTTCACATACTCTGCTCTCCCCTCTGAGTTGTCATGCCTACCCGGCTCCCTTATCTCAAAGGAACATCACAGTTTCTTACGACAGGAGGAAAGAAGAGGGGAGCTGGGTGAGGGGGGGGGAGAAACTTTTTCAAAGTGGAGTGGAAATGGCAACTCAGGCTTCCCGGCATCACTCATGAAAAAAAGTTCAACAATAACAACAAACAAATAAATAAATGTTGAAGCTAGTGCGTGCTTGTTTTGCTTTGAAGCAGATAGGAGAGGATGTTTTTTGGGGAGGAGGGGGGGTCTTTTACGACAATCCACATCCACCATGCGCTCCAAACAATGAGAGAGGTGCAAGAAACAGCGCCATATCTGCTCTTAAGCACCTAATAAACACAATTGCCTTTGATCACCACTTCCCCACTTGCACCCCAAACAAACTACGAGCATCCAAAAGTAAAACGAGTTCAGCTTTAAAGCGCAAACCTCAGTTACTGCGACGTGCGGCAGCAGCAAATCTGAACTTGAGTGTGCGGCGTCAGATTTAAAAAAAATAAGTTATCAATGAAAATGACACAGTAAAAGTGAGTTGGAGTAGTTGTGGGGAGAAGCTACCGGGCGACAGACACACACAAAGTCACCGCCGGCTTCCACGGGCTCGGGATGCCGCTGAAGGAGGAGAAAATAGTACAGAAGAGACAACTTGTAGGAAAAAGGAGTAAAACACAAAACCTACTTTGAGGCGACTAAGTCACTCCGCGTCCCCTCGCTGCCGCCTCCAAACTCAGCCTTTAAATCAAAGCCGTCCCCCCGGTAGCCCCCTTTCAATTTGTATTTGTGTAGCGTCTGTGTGTGTGTGTGTGTGCGAACCTAAATGTAAATGTGCCATGTGAATTCAAAGCAAAGCGGTGCTGCTCTTTTTTTTCTCTTCCTCCTCCTCCTTCTCTCTCTCTCTCTCTCTCTCTCTCATTCACCCCAGATCCCTCTTTTTTTCTCTTCCTGACCGACTCTGCTCAGGCCGTTAGTTACATAAGACGCAAAGCGGCTGCTGCCCGTCGTAAAAACTAGTAACGGCTAACGCTGTTGATATTGTTGCCCCCCTCCCCTCACCTCTGTTAGCAAACACATCTCCGGGCTTAGCGTCCCCTTCCAGAGGACAGACCCTCATCTTCCCCGCACACCACGCGTTTCCCCTCGGCGTCTACGCACCGAGCATCGCCGCCGCCGCCGCTTTGTTTTCTTCCTTCCGCGCACTGTGACTGCAGCAGCAGCTAGCAGCGAGCAGCTAATGTTGCTAGCGGCGCTGTCGTGGAGCAGCTTACCTGTTGATCAAAAATAAGCATTAGCCTCTTTTCTCTGTGTGTCTGCAGCCTGTTAAGATGGAGGCTGCTCTGCTTGGCTGCTTCGTCTCTTTCAGGGCTTTTTTTTTTGTTTGTTGTTGATGATGTCGGACGGTGTGACTGTGGCTTGTCTCTTGGTTTTTTTTTTTTTTTCTCTCTTTGGTCTGAG